CATGCCAACTACCTTTTACCATTTAACAGACATTAAAAATATATATATATTCTTGTTTTTTTGTTGATAAATGTAAAAAACACTTAACTTAATACATAATATATGCAGATATAATAGAACTTTAAAGGATTTGTTGGTCGAAACCTTGATACAAAATTAAAAAGGCCTATAGGTAGATGCACCTTTATTGACGATGATGTGTCACTCTACATTTATATTAACTACTTTGTCTTCATGTTTAAAGAATAAAAAAATAAAAAATAAAAGGTTGTGTCCTATTTATATTAACTACAATCTTATGATCAGACATGGACAGGAGTTGGATGTTAATTTCTGATAGATTCAGTCAGCCATATGTAGATGGGGTGAACTCATTTATTGAATTTGCAAAGTTTCATTTGAGTGTCCTTTAACAATTGATGTATGATACTATCTGCTGCTATTTTGTGGTTTTGTTTTTGCTTTCTTTGGTTGTTCTTGATTGGATATAAACTCCATGCTAGAGCTCAACCAATCATGGCATGGAGACAAAAAAAATCTTCCATTTTCTTTATTGGTTAGTGGTAACTACTAACAAAATGATGTACAAAAGAGGTCTCACATTATTGCACACCAATGAGTGAGTGAGTGGTTGTGTGTGAGTGTGAAAGAGATAATATAAAAAGAAAAAGAAAAAGAAAAATAGAGAACAATATATAAGTTCAAAGGTTATCTGTTACTCCCATTTTATGTGACATGGAGTTTTACTTGGGAATACTTTATTGTGCATTGGGAATTTCTTTTGATGGAGGAAATCTAACCTTTATAAATGTCCTTTGAACTCGCTCCAATGGCGTCTCAGAGTGTAATTGGGTTCGTTGGCTTGGACCAACTGAGCTTGCAATTGGCCTCCTCACTCCTTCGCTCTGGCTATGCCGTACAAGCCTTTGAGGTTTGTCTTCATTTCCCATCTCTCTGTTTGTTCATTGAATTTGTTCACGATTGAATTCCGGGCATTTCGCGATTGAATTTTTTATTCCAAAAGCAATGAATTTTGCTGTGTGTTTGAATGACTTTGAATTTTTAATTCCAAAAGCAATGACTTTGACTTTGATTCCAAAAGCACTCTGATTGTAATTAATAAACTTTGATTGGTATGAAAGGAGATAAGGGGTTAAATGACTTTGATTGGTAAAAGGAATATAAGGGTTCAAAATGACTTCGAATAGTATATTTAGCTACCTAAAGAAACACCTAAAAACTTAGAAGGCACCAAAAACTCAGTACATTTAGCTACCTAAAGAAACACCTAAAAACAATTATATATATATACTTTTGGATCATAGTTGACTGAATATGTTCTTCTTTTATTTTCTCTATAAATTGTGACCTTATTTTTTTGAAGAGCTAAAAATTGACTTTCTGATGCTTTCTTCTCTCATTTCTTTGCATGCAGATGTTGTAGCTTTGGTTGTATTGATGTCTCATGCAGATCAAATAAATGGCCTACTTTTTGGTCATGAGAGTGCTTTAAAAGGTTTTGTGGAGATCCTTAATGTTTTCTGAATTTATAATTAGTCTGCTTGGTTGATGTTCAGAATATACTATTTTCTGGTTTTGCAGGGTTACGCAAAGATGCTGTCATCATTCTCCATTCAACCATACTACCTGCTCATATACAGAAGCTCGAGAAGCGACTCACAGGCAATTAATTTTCTCTAGATAAAAAAAATATTTGTATAGAATTTTCTTTTATACTCTTGGTTAACTTTTCTGTTCTGTCTGGTTTGTTGGTGGATGTCGTCGTAGTTTTGTGCTATTTAGTTTTAGATTTATCGGCAGCTCAACAGTGTGTTATGATACTCTTTCTTTTCTTTTTTTTTCTGTTTCATCATTTTTACTCTAGATTTATCATAGACGGCCATAGTTGTTCTTATCTTTATTTTTCCATTAATGAGATTATAGAGCTTTAGCAACTTTTTAACTCTGCCTAGTGGATCATGCCCTCCATTATTGATATGACGGTTAATGAGGGCAGGGGAGGTGAGTTGAAATGAAAGGACAAAGGAGAAAGTTCATAGTTAAATCATTTTCTTTTTTCTTTTTTTGTTTATCATTTGGGGAAGGTTTAATGTCTATCTTTCTTTTTTTGTTTTGTTTTTTGTTCTTCTGTCTGCAAATCTCTAATGTACAGGGGTGATGACCCTTTGTGTTCTATGAATCTATACTTTATTTACTTATCAAAAAAAGCAAAAAAGAAAAAAAGAAAAGAGAAGAGAAGAGAGTAGAACATTCAATAATAATGTGTTCTTTACTGTTATACCAAATTTATGCCTTATGGTCATGTTTGATTCACAAGACTAATAGTGAAGTATTAATAATCCTATTAAATTAGTGTGGTATTCACTATCCAATTGGATTAATATCTATTGGATTAATAATCCCACCCCTACCCCATTACTAATAATCCTACAAATTTGTTGGATTAATTATCCATTGGATTAATAATCCTAAACCAAAATGTTAAAACAAACATAGGATAATTGGGCCCACGGATTAATAATCCCAATCCCATACTCTAATCCACCCAATCAAACATGCCCTAGAAGTCTACTGGTTACTGGTTACATCTAACTTAATGGAAAAGCAAAAGAAAGAATTTGGTGTTTGCTCAGCTTGTGCTAAACTTACATCTGCATTGAATATTTTCTAACTCCTCTAATCATTAATTTGTTTCTACTCTAGCAGAGGATTTGGAGAGAGTTTTTGTAGTTAATATATATGTCTCTAAGGGAATGTCAGAGGTTTTGAATGGAAAAATAATGGTAAGATTATATATCTCATATCCTATTTCTTCCTCACATAAGTAGAGGATCATTTTGCTTTTGTTTTGCTATTTTATAGCTGGCTGAAGCTGATATTTCTATAATACGCAGATTATTTCATCAGGACAGTCGGATGCCATTACAAGGGAACGCCCTGTTCTCTCTGGTACAATCTATTTATGTCACTACTCTGCAACACTTGCATGAGGATTCAGTTTGTTGATCACTAATTTTAAATTTTCTATTTCATCTCTAAGACAAACTATTGTGTTTTTCAAACAGCTATGAGTGAGAAACTTTATGTTTTTGAGGGGGCACTTGGTGCTGGAAGGTGGGATTTCTTCACAATCTTACCAATTTCTTTGTCATGTTTAGATTTTAGAACAATTTGAATTATGTTGTTGAGACAAATTTTCATATAAAATTGGTGACAATTAAATTTAGGGTAAAAGATGAAGACAAGAAGAGAGAGAGAGAGAGAGAGAGAGAGAGACAGAGAGAGACAGAGAGACAGAGAGAGATAGAGAGAAGAGAGATAAATGCAGGAAAAGGCTAATGAGAGACACCAAAAGTAGGCACATGTTCTCTTCTTAGACACACATATGTTTGCATTTTGTCTATCATCGACTGAACCAACCCAATTTGCATCACTAAATGCTTTCAATTTTAAGTGATCATGGTTAGAGCACAGGATCCATTTCACAAGAGCTGACTTGAGATACCTCTAAATGAACGATCTGGCACAAAAATTTTGGCATGATCAAGCAACTCAGATTATTATGTTCTTCCTCTTCCATGATTATGTCTTATGTTATTTTATTTTGCAGTATGTAACTCTAAATTAAGTTAATAAAGTTTGATTAAGTAGCATGTACTTGTTATTTTGAAATGATAGTTGAAATGGGAGAATAAATGGAGGGGGCAAAGTCATCATTGGAGCAACATTGCTAATATATAGCATTTTGTCTCTTTTTATTGCTAAATTATAACAATATTCAGCATGTAGCTATTGAACCATTGGAGACTAGAAAATTCACAAGACAGCGCCAGGAAACCATAGGAGATTTTTTTTACTTGACAGGAATACAAGAACTGATAGGCTGCTTCTTAGTAGTGATATGGCTTTGATAACATGTAAATATCGGAAACAAAAAGTGGAATTAAAATTTGGTTAAAAAAAAAAAAACTAATGGCTTTGCGCAAAAAACAACACCTGACCTAATATTACACTAGTGATTGTGTAAACCAAGTCAAATCTAATTCACTATAAACTTACAACTAAATGATTCTTGAATATTCCAATACAAATTTAAGTAACTTCATATCTCTGAACAATACTTTTCAAATGATAATTTAATTGTGTCTTGGTTGTGCCATTTGATAGTAAATTTGTTTGTGCTAGGTGTTTAACCCAATTTAATAGGGATTGGCACAGGGGAATGGCCCTTCTTCTTTGTTTATTTATGTTAGGTGTTCTAATATCATATTAGATGATGTTATTGTTAATGTCTACTTTTCTTTTTTAAATTGCAGCAAAATTAAAATGGTAATAGAGCTGCTTGAGGGCATTCATTTTGTTTCTTCTGTGGAGGCCATTTCTCTTGGTGCCCAAGCTGGTATTCATCTATGGATAATTTATGACATTATTTCTAATGCTGCTGGAAATTCATGGTAAATTATTGTTCACAATTCTTTACTGAGGACTATGTTGTGTGTTTAAAATTTATCTATTTCTAGTCCTGAAGCATTCCTTATAAGCATTCTGATCTGAAATTGCCAATTCTAGATTAGGCACAACCTTGATAGATGAGACTGCTAATAATCTGATTTGCACCATGGGCACCAGTTGAGACCATGGCACTGATTGGCACGTTCTGTTTCTGACAATGAACTGATTTTGTAGAACCTATGCCTTTAAAGAAATTAGCTGCAAAATTTATTGAACACTGAAAGCCCTTCTTGTTATGTGCTTACATGTATACACATACATGGGAACATCTGTTTACTTTCAAAGATCTGTGCATTTTTATACTAACTCAATAGGTATTGAAGGTTTTGGTGGTTGGTGTTGGTATATGTAAATTCCGTAGTTAGTTTTTTTTTTCATGACATTCCTGGAATTTGCTAGCGTTTTCTTAAGCAGATACTGTGTTACCTTGCTACTAGACATCCTTCCGTTGGATTCAATTTTACAAGGTTTTCAAGAATCATGTTCCCCAGTTGCTAAGGGATAATCAAACCAAACATCTCCTGAATACTTTTGTTCAAAATTTGGTAAGTCTTCTCATGTTGTAAGTTTCTTAGTGTTGTTCAACTGTATTATGAGTAATTTCTTTTCTTCTTGACTTTGAAGTTAAGTTCAATGGGGGTTTTGGGTGAATTAAATGCTAACTACAGTTTTATAATTCCATTCAAATTATGCTTCCTTTCTTGTGGTGGATTTAGCATTTAGGACATTTACTTGAGGACCATCTGCTAAATGCATACTAAAATTTTAGACTTGAACACCACTCGGTAATCATTTCTTCATCAATGAATTTGGACACATTGAGACTTTCAATAATGATTTTTAAAAGCTCTACAACATAAGAAAACAGATTTAAGTTCTGAGGTCTAATTTTGTAGAAAAATCTTACGTAAATGTCTCAGGAGCTAAAACTGCCTTCCTATTATTTAACTCTCATGCCTCAAAACTGTTTCCAGTGTTGAGTTCGTCTTGCTTGACCACGTTCCTAGTAACAAATTTTTCCATCTTGTTCTCACAATTGCTTTTCAGTGTAATATAGTTGAAATCTCAGTTCTTTCATTGAAAACATAAGCCCCAATTATTCACATGAATGTGTGACATTGTGATGCAGAAGCAGTAAGTACAAGAGGACAAATCCCAAGCAAATAATGTCAAGTTTGTCTAGTTAGTATGAAGTTTGTTTATTTATGAGTCTTCATTTTATTCTTGATTAGAATTTGTTAGTCCCCTATTAGGAGCTTCAGAATGTTCTGGATGTATTTTATTTTTAGGGATTTCTTTGTTATAGTTTGTGTGTTGGTTAGTAGACTTCTCTTGGGCTATAATCCAGCCAATTACTTGTTTAGAATTACTTATTTTGGTAGATTTTGAATATTTTACAGTCTCTAAATGGGGTAATTTTTAGAAAGTTTATTTCTCATTATGGTTTACTAGTGTCCACATAAAGAGGCCCCTGCTTGATTATGAATTTAGAGTTGGAATTAAAGAGCCAGTGTGGAAATTCCCTATTGACTTGTGTGTGTATCTCAAGCCACCCTTGTGGAGTAGGCTACTCCTTTCATGCTTTTGTTTTCCTATTTGCTGAATTTATGTCTAATTCAAATCTATCTAACAAGTAACCAGACCTTAATGCAAGAAGCACTAACACTTCTACTCATATGACACTTCTACTCATGTGACACTTTTACTCATTACACTGCCGAGTTGAAATGGTTTTCTGAACTGGTGATGATCTGTGTTAAATCAGTTTGCTGATCTGCTATTCTTCTGGTGCTACTGTGATGTTGCTGCTGTTGCTGAGATGCTGTGGTGATGCTGCTGTGATGGTGTTTGTTACGATGAGGTGCTGCTGTGTTGTTGTTGGATGTTTGCTGGTGTTGTTGATGTTTGGAAGGGTGCTGGACTTTTTGTCCAATTTGTAATAGATCAGGTTTTCATTAATGGGGGTTGTCATTAGGTGTAAGTTCGGGCAACTGCTGGTGTTTTGGCTGGAAGGGTATGGAGGGGGTATTTTGTGTGATTTCATATCCATGTTATTAGTTTGTTATAGTGGTGCCTGAGGGATGCCTCTTGTAAACCTGTAAATCTTTTAAAAAATTATAAATGAGTTTCAATTATTTTTCCCGTTGCAAATTTGTCGTTGTTAAAAAGTGAAGCTTTCTCGACAAATAACTTGTCGGTAAATGTGTAGCTAAAAGTTTATTTTTGCCCACTCATATTGTGTTGCTAAAAGTGTATTTTTTGCCAATGCCAATTTGTCGTTGCCAAAACTAAAGCTTTATCGACAACCAAATCGTTGGCAAATGGCAACATTTACCGACGTAAATGTGTCGCTAAAAGTTACTTTTCCCCACTCATGTTGTGTTGGTAGAAGTGTATTTTTTGCCAATGCCAATTTGTCGTTGCCAAAAGTAAAGCTTTAGCGACAAACAAATCGTCGGCAAATGGAAACATTTACCGACGTAAATGTGTCGCCAAAAGTTTACTTTTGCCGACGCATATGTTGTTGCTAAAACTATATTTTTTGCCCATGCAAATTTGTGTCGCGAAAAGTGCCACACAATCATCATATTTGAATGACTTTTACCAACGCAAGGTAAATTGCCGATGATGGATGGAGGCTTTTAGCGACGACTATATTCGTTGCTAAAGGCATTACTTTTACCAACGCAATCATAATTTCGTCGGCAATAACTTTTGCCAACGTAGCTTTGTGTGTCGGCAAAACTCTTTGCCAACGAATTTTCCCTTTTAGCAACATATTTTGTTGCGTTGCGAAAAATGCAATTTCTTGTAGTGATCTGTCTCAGTTTAGCAGTAATCAGTGGTTAATCGATAAACAATGACGAGGGTTGTTACAGGTTTGAATTTTCAAGATTCATATTTTAGAAAATTAAGATTTTTTGTTTTTCATACTTTTTTTTTTCATCGAATTTTTTTAATATTTTAAGTAATTTTTTTAATTTTTAGATATATCTAACATAAATACACTTTAAAAAGTATAATATTTGTAAAAAAAATCTTTAGAAAAATCACTAAATACAAAAAATATAAAATAAAGAAATACGAGAATTCAGTATACTTTTCGTATTCTTGGGTATTTATTGATTTTTTAAAATATTTTGTTACAAATATTTCACTTTTTAAATACATCTATGTAAGGTGTATCTAAAAAAAGTAAAAAAAAAAATGCTTAAAATTTTAAAAATATACACTAAAAACAAAAAAATGAAAAACAAAAAACTCAATTTTCATGAATCTAGAAAATTAAAACCAAACACACTGAATCATTCCTATAATTTTGGAAATTACATTTCATTCCACCCTTTTGAGTTTTTTAATTTAATTACAGATGACCCATTTTATTAATAAATCATCAAGTTAAATAACAGTTTTAATTATATTAAAAATATATTTTAATTAATAATTCATGTAATTTTATTATTGTATTAAAGAGTAGTTAGGAATTTTTTTTTAATTAATTCTATTAAATAAAAAAAATTTATAAGAGGTTAATTGTAGTTTTCCTAATTATAAGGGACAATATATATTTTATACAAACCTTAAAAAGTATATTTATAATTTACTCTTTATTATTTTATTTTTTTTGGTCGACCAGTGTTGGTAATTATATCTTATATTTTAATAGTTTTAAAAAATAGACACGATATAAATATTTTAGTATTAGATGTGGGATTTGGTTCAGTGATCTTATAATTAAAATGTGATGAGGGGAACGTTAGTGATTCAAGTTGATGGAATAACGGTAGCCACTTTAGTTGTAATCAAATTTTACTAACAAATTTATATCATACAATCTTGAAAAAAAAAATTCTAATTATGCCCCAAATTGTCGAAGCCGTACAAATCGTGTACCCAAAGTATTTCACATACTCATACGACAATATTCTCCTTACACACAATCATCTTATTTTTAAATTATAATTTTATTCCTTAATCAAATTATCTTTTAGAACAAAATTCTAAATCCTAAATTCTCAATACACATTTTTCACCATCACCACTGGCCACCCCACCAGCCAGACAGAGCGGGACACAAATTAAAGAAACAAAGGTAGATGTATAGTTGGTCTAGCCAGCCTTACGGTTCCTCGCACGACAAAACACACAACTGGAATTCAAAAGAATTAAAGCCGTGCGCTTGTGGAAATCGTTGGAAAATATAATTCTGAAGGATTTGGTTCTCAAAAAAAAAATTATTCTCAAGGATTAAGTACGTTTTTAGTTCACAAAAATATGAAATTTGTGTAATTTTGTGCTTTAATATTTAAAATTGTGTAATTTTCAATATATAAAAAAATAATGCTATATGTACCAATTAATGTACTAATTAGTATACTAACAGATGATGTATCATAATTTTAGAAGTTTTGAGTATTTATAATTTGTATAATGGGTGAGGTCAGTAATAATAACATAACACTAGTTGATACACTAGTGTGTACATTAATTGGTGTATGTAGCGCTAGCATATATAAAAAGTATTTAAATTTAGTTTGCCTCTCAATTTTCATTAATAGATGCTATTAAAATCAATGACAAATGTGAAAACTCACTTAAAAAATTATACTTTTAGTCTTCAAATTATATGATGTGTCATTAATGTGAAAACTTACTCAAAAAATTACACTTCAGTCCAAACATATTTGATCTTTGTTATTTTAATGTTCAAAATTATACATTTATCCCCGACTTAAATGGAACAGAATTTGATTAGTAGACGAAATTGAAACATTTTCTATACATTTAGGACCAAATAGACAATTTAAACATTATGGATCAAAACGACATAAACTTCAAATTTTGAGAACCAAAAATGTAATTAATCAAAATTTGAAAGTTCAGCTAAATACCCAAAGTTGTTATAGGAGTGTTTTGGAAAGTTAGTAAAAAACTGACTTGTAGACGGCTTTTTTGGCAAAAAACTGGCTCGTTTTGGGTAAAAAAAGCTGGTTTTACAAATTCATTAAAGTTTATTTATTAAAGTTTATTCATTAAATGAACAGTTTTGTTCATTAAAGTTTATTCATTAAAGTTTAGCCATTAATTCTTAGTACTTGAAACGAACAGTTTTGTTCATAGGATTTACAAATTAAATGAAAAACTTCAATTTCGTTGACTCCATCAATCCATACTTATTACCTAAATTTCAAATTCATCACCTATAAATTCACATATTTATGTTTAGAATTTCTAGACACAAAATTACCTAGAAATTTTATCATTTCCTTGAATTGTAATTGTCCGTATAACACAATAACAAGTCACAGATTATCGATACCAATTTGTGTCCCGATTAACACTTGTAACCATGACAAATGACGGTAAGCAAAAGCTACACATAGCGGTGTTCCCGTGGTTGGCCTTTGGTCACATGATCCCATTCTTAGAGCTAGCCAAGAACATGGCGAGAAGGGGTCATCAAGTCTCCTTCCTATCGACCCCAAGAAACATTGAGCGCTTACCAAGAATTCCATCAAATTTATCCCCATTGATAAGCTTAGTGAAGCTTCATTTGCCCCCAGTTGATGGCCTCCCGGACAACGCGGAGGCCACCATTGACCTACCCTCTGACAAGATTCACTTCCTCAAGAAGGCCTATGACGGTCTCAAGGACGAGTTGACTCAATTCTTACATGCTTCATCCCCGGATTGGGTTGTTTACGACTTTGCTCCTTATTGGTTACCCCCAATTGCTGTGGAGCTTGGCATCGCACGTGCCTTCTTCAACGCAGTTAACGCCTGGTTTTTGGCATTTTTAGGGCCGTCATCTGCTTTGATTGACGGCTCTGATCCGCGGACAACGCTGGAAGACTTTACGGTCCCACCTAAATGGATCCCGTCTTCTTCCAACTTGGCCCATCGGTATTACGAGATCAAGTGGATCGTGGAGGCCGCACAAAACATTACCTCAGATGTTTTGGACACGTATCGACTTGGGTCCGCAATTGCTGGGTGCGACGTCCTTGCCACACGTGATTGTGAGGAGTTCGAAGCCCACTGGTTGACACTCCTCCAACAACTTAACAAAAAGCCTGTCGTACCAGTGGGTTTGATGCCCCCATTGGTTGACATTAGCGGGGAGGAAACAAGTGACACGTGGTTGTCAATCAGTGGTTGGCTAGAAAATCAAACCAAGGGATCTGTGATTTACGTAGGACTCGGAAGTGAGTTGACTCTGAGTCAAGAAACACTTACTGAGTTAGCTCTCGGGCTAGAGATATCTGGTTTGCCCTTCTTTTGGGCCCTTAGAAATCCGTCTGGCTTGAATGAGTCAGACTCAGTGGAGTTGCCAGACGGGTTTCAGGATCGAACCAAAGGTCGTGGAGTTGTGTGGACGACTTGGGTGCCTCAACTTAGGATATTGGCTCATGACTCAGTGGGTGGTTTCTTGACTCACTGTGGTTGGAGTTCAATTATTGAGGGCCTTCAATTTGGACATCCACTTATTATGTTGCCCTTCATGGTAGAGCAAGGGTTGAATGCTAGGATTTTTGAGAAAAACAAGGTGGGTATAGAAATACCGAGAGATGATCGAAACGGGTTATTATACCGAAACTCAGTAGCTGAGTCACTAAAGTTGGTAATAACTGACGATGAGGGAAAGGTTTATAGGGATAAAGCTAGAGAGATGAGAGCTATATTTGGTGACAAGCTTCGACATGACCAATACATAGACAAATTTATCGAGCATCTACAAAACTACAGAAGTCTTCACAAGGATTAAGTTAATGGAGTTCTTAGTAACAAATATTATGTTTTAAGTAATATGCATTTTATTTGAAGCAAAGGCTTATTTTCATTATCTTGTAAAACATATGCAAACAAATTATTGGTGGCTTTGAAAATAAAATGCCATTAGGTTGTTTTCTAATCCTCTACATTTAACCTGTGTCACACATATCTTATAATTATCAAGTGTCAATGGATTGGATTTAATCCGAATCCGAACGGAACCTGACTGGAAAATCAGAATACATTTATAAAAATCCAACCCGGTAATCCGATAATCTGGAACCGTTTAATCCGATTACTAAACGGATTGGATATGCAAAAATTGGTCCGATCCGATTATTCTAAATTTGAATGAAGAAAACACAAATTGAAAAAAAAAAATTATATAAAATTATAGCTCAAAAAAAAAAAAAAAACTAAATGAATCAGTTCGGATTATCAAGTCAGATAAATTATCAGATTCGAATTCAAGTAATTTATAATCAGATATGGAATAAATGGATTCGGATCGGATTCGAATTTGTCTTAGTCAGATCTAACATCTCCAATTTATTCAAGCCCTTTGTTCAATTCTAGTATGGTGTTGGAACTTACAAGAGAGAGCAGGAGAGCACCAATTATTAGAGTTGGTATAACTGAGAGTTCACTAAGCAAAATGTCACGTACGACTTGTAAGAATATTTTTAATAAAAATAATAAAAATTCAACTTAAGACCTCCATTTCATAACAGCTTTAAGAATGAATAACATATTCATATCAATTTATTACATTTTGGAGTTTCAGTTTATTGCTTTCAACACAAATGTACTTCATCCGTTTTGTAAAATGAATTCCTAATGGCAGAAGTGGAAGTTGCACGCTTTACAGTCGAGGAGGGTGTTAAACACTGATAGAGGCCTCGAATTCGAGGCTCGAATTTGCCTCGAAAGTGTTTTTTTTTTTTTTTTTTTCTTTTTTTTTTTTTTTTCCTTTGTGTATTTTTTTTTTTTTTTTTTTTTTTTTTTATTTGAAATGGCGTTTCTACTACCAACCAAAGCCAACCCACACAATGACACACACACCAATGGCCACACCCACAACACTCAAGCATTGAAATAATATAATTTTTATATATAATAATAATTTATAATAATTAATTATATAATTTTTATAATTTTCGTAAATATAAATCATTTTTCACTTGAAACAATTGCTTTCATCATGCCACAGTGAGTTATCCGAACGTCCTGCAGTTTCCTTAGATCTCTAGCTATGGAAAGTGAGAACGTAGTTTGTAGTTTATGACACCAGAACACATCTACAGACGTCAGGTTGCCGAGCCATACAAGTTGGGTGGGACCCTTCCACATATTTGTCAATTCAGGCAAGAAATATAGTACCAACTCTTTCAATGCACGGAAAGCCGTGTTCGGTAGTCGGTATTCATGACATTCATGGCTAGTAATCCCTTTGAAATTATATAGATTACGAAGATACAGACACTCACAGGAAAAGCACTCTGGGGAACCCCATCTGTTGTATTGATGAGGTATTCCAATTCAGTCAAGTAGTCTAGTGTCAATTTCATTAAGCATTCAAAACCATCTTCGTCGACCAAATCACAGAGAATTTTCAAACTTACTGCAGTTGCGGTTAAAATAAGAATTTCAGTTCTCTTCAACAGCAAATCAAACCTCGTTTCAATGTCACTCAAGTTTTGACCTTGGAGATCCAACTTATTTGATAACGAATAACGAGGGTCAGGGATGCCACCAAAGTAATCGCCAACAACTATATTGAACTTTTTCACCTTCTCAATACCTCTCGGCCAGAAGTCCATATTTAATAGAACAATATCCAAAGCCGCCAAATTGGACAAGGACGCTAGTTCATTGCTCACTGAAAACTATCCCCGAAAG